ATTTCAAGGTGTCAGGGTGGTGATTGGAGCCAGAGGCAGGTGGATCTCTGAGGCCAGACTGGTGCAAGTTCTCAGGAGAGAGAGAGGAGGGAGGGAGGGAGGAAGGGAGGGAGGGAGAGAGAGAGAGAGGGAAAGAGAAAGAAACAGCAGAGCATTAACCCAAGCCTAGGGCCCTGCCTCTGTGCCACTCCTGTCTTGGCCTTACTTTTCTACCCCCAATGCAGTGAAGCCGAGGTTCTGGACCACAGCAAGGACCCTTGTGAAGACTCTTTCCTGCCAGACACAGAGGGCCATACCTATGTGGCCTTTATCCAAATGGTGACAGATGATGACTTCATTACCTGGACTCAGCTTGCCAAGGTGCCCTCACCAGCAGGCCTTGCCCCGACTAGCAGAGAGACTTTGCTGTAGAGTTTTCAGCCTCAGACCTTTTCATGTTCCTGGCCAGGTGTGGTTGAGTGGTGACGCACGCCTTTAATACAAGCACTCAGGGAGGCAGAGGCAGGCAAATCTCTTAGGTTTAAGGTCAGCCTGGTCTACAGAACAAGTTCCCGGATTGTCAGGGCTACACAGAGAAACCCTGTTTCAAAAAAACAAAGAAAGAACCTCTTTTCTAACCCTTTGCTCAAATCCATACTCCCGAGCATGCTTGCTCTTGATTGAGGCAGCTGCCAGACTTTCAGTGGCCATCTCCACAGCTTCCTGACCCTTCTCCTTCCCCTGCTCTATCCCTGTCAGTGCCTCCATATTTGGGACCTGGATGTTCGTGGCAACCACCATGGCCTGTGGAGATTATTTCGGAAGAAGAACCACTTTTTGGTGGTGGGGGTCCCAGCCTCCCCTTACTCGTGAGTTTCCTGCTGTTCCTGGGAAATGTCCTCCTGGGGTTGAAGCATGTCTTCTTCTCTGTATCATTCTTCTGTTGAATTTCAGAGTGAAGAAGCCACCATCAGTCACCCCTATTTTCCTGGAGCCACCCCCAAAGGAAGAAGGAGCCCCAGGGGTCGCTGAGCAAACGTGAAGCCTCCTCCAGGACCCTGCAGGGCTGGGTACTGTGTACCCCCAGGCAGGCTAGCCCGTCGCCCTCTCCTGTAGAATTTTGTAGATGCTGGTAGGGGTTAGGGCTGGTTTGTTTTTAACATGAGGATTTAATTACTAACTCTGAGGGGAAGGATCCCCTGCTCCAACACCCCGTTCCTGAGGTTAAGGTCTATTTATTACTTCCTTGTTGGAGAAGGGCAGGAGAGTACCCAGGACCTCTTTGGGATTCCTGGACAGCTGATCCTGCTCTTTTTCACCCCATCCTCCCAGGCCTGGCTCAGAATCTAACCTATTTATTGACTGTCCTGAAGGCCTTGGGAATAGGCGCAACCTGGGGCCTTTAGTCCTCTCTGGACCAGGACGCTGCCCTGAGGGTGGGACTGGCTCATACTCAGGAAACTGCTGTGCCCAACTGATGACAGGCCCAGTTGGGTCCATGTGCTGGCAGACTCACTCAGAGACCCTTAGACACTGGACCAGGCCTCCTCTCAGCCTTCTCTTTGTCCAGATTTCCAAAGCTGGATAAAGGTGGTCATTGATTAAAAAAGGAGAAAACCTTTGGGGTGTGTCTTGTGGTAGTTTTGTGGGGAGAACAGCGTGGTGGTGAGGGAATCATCTGGACAGATGATGATGTGTTTTGGTTGTTTTACTGTCTTCCATAGTTTTATTGTGGAAGCCATTTGGCCACCAGGGGATGCCCAAGTCTCAAGCTTCAAGTCTTTGGTTTTTATTTGTTTTAAGCAGGCTCCACCCTGGGACCAGCTGACATCATCCCTTCCTGGTTGGGGCCTTATGTCCTAGCAGCCATCTCACACTCCTTCCTCACTGTTTACCATCGGGCTCGCCCGTCTGGGCCCAGCACCTGTCCCCATTAGTGCTGTAGCCAGGAGAGATCACAGGGTGGATGAGGGAATGGGAGAACAGGTAAACAGTGGAGACAAGAAGTGACCAGGCCGGGCGGTGGTGGCGCACGCCTTTAATCCCAGCACTCGGGAGGCAGAGGCAGGCGGATCTCTGTGAGTTCGAGGCCAGCCTGGTCTACAAGAGCTAGTGCCAGGACAGGCTCCAAAGCTACAGAGAAACCCTGTCTCGAAAAACAAAAAACAAAAAAAAAAAAAAAAAAGAAGTGACCGGACCAAAAGCAGTGGCGGCACCAGGAGGGGGAGATTATTTTATATAATACTGGGCAAGCCATGTAGGAGCAAGGGTTTCTGTGGCCTTCTGGATTGGTTGTGTGCAGAATTCCATTGTAGGGGTGTTTTTCTGGAGGAAAGGGCCATGGTTTTCAACAGATTCTCAAGAGGCTAGTAACTCAGAGGAGCGTAGGAAAGTCTGAGTTAGTCACCAGAAAGTGGACACTCTGGTCCATTGGCAATCAGATAGCCCAAGCCAGGGGAACATGACCTTTAAATTAAGTCTCTGAAGGATTAAGATCAGGACCTGAGTAGATTGCATTGTAGGAAAGGGTATAGATCTTTTGCCAAGGAGTCAGGAACTTACTGGAATTCCTGCCCTTTATCTGTTCGTGGTCCTGGCCTCTCTCACTAGCACCTGGAGCTCACACAGCAATGGCATCGGTGCAGTGGCTTTGACGTTGCTCACCACTCTGACCCCTTCATTGTTTAGTGTTTCAGGTGGCAAAGCAGGCACGGGAGAAGCAGTTAGTCCGTGATGAAGTGGCAGCCCTCCTTGGGCAAACAGATCCCTTCACCCTGCTTCCCGGAATAGAGTGTTGGTGTGTGAGGTGAATGCTCGCAAAGGGTTGAGGCCAGCTATTTCCTCTCCCTACCTAGAACTCTAGAAGATGCTCAGCCAGGCTTCACCAGCAGAAGCTGTGTGGCTCTGGCCAAATCTCTGCTCCTTTTTGGGCCCAGCAAGTGGGCGATAACTGTAGGCTGCTCTGGAAAAGCCCATAGAGACAGATGGGGGTTAGGGGATTGTCGAAGAGAAGGGAGGAGCGGAAGCCAGTTAGTCAAATGGCTTTGCGTGGTGGCAGCCCCTGTCCTGTGGCAACAGTCTTAGTGCTGCCACTAAGTTCAGAGACATTCAGTTTTGTTTGAGACTGGGTTTCACTTTATAGGCCTGGTTGTTCTGGAACTTGTTCTGTAGACCAGACTGCCCTTGAACTCAGAGATCTGCCTGCCCTGCCTCCCCCCATGTACTGGGATTAAAGGCATGTGCCACTGCCATCTGGCATATATATATTAGTAGGCATTCAGATTTTTGTCAGGGATATTCTGGTCAGGTTCAGGTTCCTTTTTTATGCCTGCAGGCCAGATCTCATTATAGATGGTTGTGAGCCACCATGTGATTGTTGGGAATTGAACTCAGGATTTCTGGAAGAGCAGCTAGTACTCTTAACCTCTGAGCCATCTCTCCAGGTTCAGGTTCTTTAGGTTGGACTGTATCTGTACCAAACAAGGTCTCCCTGGTTACCAGTTACAAGAGTGAGTCTGGTCAAAGTCTCGGCCTCATGTGGGACTTTGGCAATCAAAAACCGAAGTAAAGACTAGGGATGTTCCTCAAGCATTAGTGTGCTTGCTGAGCACACATGGAACTGGGTGTAGTTCCAAATAAAACCAGATGTTGTGACACCTACCTGTAAACTCAGTACTAAGGAGGTAGAGGCAGGAATTCAGTGTTCTCAGCAATAAAGTTCAAAGCCAGTCTGGGTTACACGAGACCCCCCATCTCAAAAAAACAAAAGAAAACAAGACAAAGTGAGATCTTGGCAAGGTGTAATGGTGCACAACTTTAGTCCCAGCATTCGGGCGGCAGAGGCAGGCAGATCTCTGAGTTGTGGTCAACCTGATCTACAGAACAAGCTCTAGGACAACCAGAACTACACAGACCTTGTTTCAAAAGAAAAAAAAGGGGGCTGGAGAGATGGCTCAGTGGTTAAGAGCATTGCCTGCTCTTCCAAAGGTTCTGAGTTCAATTCCCAGCAACCACATGGTGGCTCACAACCATCCGTAATGAGGTCTGGTGCCCTCTTCTGGCCTGCAGACATACACACAGACAGAATATTGTACACATAATAAATAAATAAAATGTTTAAAAAAAAAAAAGCAAGATGCCTGGCAGCGGTGGCGCACGCCTTTAATCCCAGCATTTGGGAGGCAGAGGCAGGTGGGTCTCTGTGAATTTGAGGCCAGTCTGGTCTACAGAGGAGTTCCAGGACAGGCTCCAAAGCTACAGAGAAACCCTGACTTGATAAACAAAATTAATTAATTAATAATCAACAAAAAAAGAATGCCTGGGCGAAGGAGCTTAGTGTTGCTGTGGTGTCCATTGCTGCAGGGAGCCTTGCTGTAATACCTTTCAGGCAGTACTCTGAAGTATACCACCATGACCAACCAGGCCACACCCTACAAATACCCAGTTCCTGTTCAAGATGATGGTAACATAACCGGTGTGCCCAGGCACCCTCAGGGTACAAGTCTGAATTCTCCAAAAGACTGGGCAGTGGTGGTGCACACCTTTAATCCCAGCACTTGGGAGGCAGAGGCAGGCTGATCTCTGAGTTCGAGGCAAGCCTGGGCTACACAGAGAAACCTTGTCTCGAAAAAGCAAAAGATTCTCCAAAGTAGGGCACTTTGAGCTGCTTCTCAGGGTTCCAGGAGGGCTTCTTGGAGCCCAAAGAGTGACTCCACTGCCACAGCCCTGACAATAATTCTGTTCTCTCCCTGACTTGGCACACGCTCATTAGTTTCATAGCTTTCCAGACCAATGCCCTTCACCAGGCAGGAGAACTTTCAGGACAAAGTCCTCTCATAATACATAAAGGCAGACTAACCTGGCTCCCACTTCCTCGGTGCCCTCTTGGCCATTCCCTTACTCTCCCTCCCAGACCTGGAGCCTAAATACCCACCTCACTACCTCACTTCCACCCTGCTGAGTCTCCAGTCTCACAAAAAGCAGTGCAATTTAGGCAAGCAGAACTCATCTCTCCAAGTATACACAGTCCAAATAGAAGTATTTTTATTGGTTTATAGGTTCCAAAATGCCTTCTATACATCTGTTCTATGGCTTTGCTGGACTTGAATATGCCCAGGCTGTAAGTGCCTTCATCCACCAGTGAGGTGCTGGGATCATCAAGAACCACTTTTATACCAAGGATGTGTAAAGGGTTGAAGAAGAGACTCAGGAGATGGGCAGAGTGGCTGCTTCAGAGACTCTGGAGCAGATGTTGCCCCCGCCCCGAGCCCCACCAACAGAGAACAAGGCAAACACAGCCCGAAGGAGGTGGTCCCTATTCAGCCCACAGTCCAGAGCAGCAAAGGCAGGTCCACTCCAGCCCAAATGACGTTAGATTTCATCTCCACCCGGATCACTGCTGCTTAGCTGTCTCTTTTTGGCTTCCATGTGGCAGCAGCAAGTGGGGAGGAAGAAACTGGCTTATTTCAGATTGCAGTATAGATACATGGATACAATCATGGCAGCCAGCTGGTGGGGAGGAACAGGGAGACACGAAAGGACACGATCAAGAACTGTTTCCTGAACAGACAACGTGAAGCCCTGCTTTCCTGATGCTGGAGGACATGTTTGGCCACCTTAGGCCTCTGGGTTCAGCCCTCAGCTCCAGAATGAAAACACAAGAAATCTGACTCCTCTAGAGAAGCCTCAGAGAGGGGCTAATCTGTACAGGTCTAGTAGAGACTGATACCCAGGTCCAGTCTCCTCACTGACTTACCTCCAGGGCGGCAATTCCAGCTGCCACACCACCCACAGTGACCGCATTGGTTCTGATCTCATGCAGAAGCTGTTTGAAACAACCCTTGGGCGGAAGGGAGAAAGTATTTATAGCTGGCAGTGCCCTACCTCTGATCTGTTTACTACTTACTGTAAGACCATTAAAACAATCCCACCGTGCCAGGCATGTGCACACCTTCAACCCCAGTACTCAGGAGATGGAGGTAAGTGGATCTCTTGAGTTTGAGGCCAGCCTGGTCTACAGAGGGAGTTCCAGGATAGCCAGGGCCACCCAGAGAAACCCTGTCTTGAAAAAAAAAAAAGTAATGCCACCCTTCCATGTCAGCCCATACCGGTACATTTGTTTCTTCGGCTTCGCTCTCGGTGCATGATTGCGTAGCTGTGCCATTGGTAGCTCCGCGACAACAGTAAGGAGGAAAGAGTTTATTCTCTTCAACGAAACGCGAGGTGTTAAAATCTGTATAGTTGTTGAAACCACAGCACTTCAGCTGCAGACAAAGTGGGATTGGTGAATGATGGGGCCTTGCTTTTTTTCCTCCCCACTCCCAAATCCTCCCAGCCCACCTTACCTCTTTCATGGTAGTGTTCCACACTTGGGTGAATTCGGTCTGGTAACCATAGTCTTTTCTGATGGCAGGTACTATTGCCAATGTCAGGAAGGTTTCTGCCTGGATGGGTCAGGTCAGTATTAAGAGAGAGGTAGGGAAAGTAGCCATTCACAGGCTACCACCCACTTCCGGGGCTTTAGCCCGTCTTTCTCCCTTGCCCCATCCCTGTGCTCACCATTGTGGTATACACCAGAGCAACCACAGCAGCCGCAACCTCAGCAATGAAGATGATGAGGAGGATGGTAAAGAACTGAGTGGGAAACAAGGAAATACGTTTTAGGGAGACCCGCCTTCCTTGCCCTACCCACTCCCATAAAAGAGGCAGGGTGTCCCCATGGGGATGCTCCCGGAATCCAGAGTAGCTTTTTGGGATCCCCAGAGGAAGATGTCAGGGGTGAAGGGACCCTTGGTTGTGGCCTGGGGTGCTGGGTCTGACACACCATCAAGAGTGCACACTTGTTCTCAGAGTGAGCACCGTAGCAGCCCAGGAAACCAAGGACAAAGAGCACAACACCAGCCGCGATGAGGAAGTAGCCCACGTTGACAAACTGCATGGCACTGGATGACATTGGCCCAAAGATCTTCAGGAAGGATGTCCCATCGACGGATACCCAGATTCCCACAGCCAACAAGGCCGCACCACACAGCTGCAGACAGAAGTCGGGCTTTGAAACAGTGCTAGCAATGGTTCCCTTTGACACCATCAAGTCTGGAAACTTTCCCTTCCCTTAATGAGGGAATCTAACTACGTGTTGTGCTTGGAGGGGACCTTAACTAGTACCAGAAAGGTGGGAACTGGGACACGTAACAAATTCACCCATCTGTTTACCTAGGAAGACAAAAATGAGATCAGGGGTTCTAGAAAGATCCACAGGCTGGGAGGAGGCATAAAACTTTCCTTTTTCTATAATCAGGGTCCTGCCACATAGGTAGGAGTGAAAACAGGTCCAGCCTCTCAATCTTGGGCTGCGAATGCCTAGAATAATTCTGTTCTCTGATACACGGAAGGAGGCAGGTGGTAGGGTTGAGCTGGCTCAACCGTCACTATAGTAACAGCAGGGTGAGGCTTCCACCTGCTTGCAACCTTGAAAGGGGGTGGAGGTTGAAAGGTTCAACGGCCCAAAGGCCCCATTTGATTCCCCTCCAGGACGGACTCAGCTGCCACACCTACATTTTTCACCTACATTTCTCACCTACATTACTGCCTGACAGTAGAAACTGAGAAAACAGGTTGAACACAGCTACAGCTTCTCCTCAAGACACTGAGTTAACCTCAGCTTTCAGAGGTGATCTTGAGGCTCCGAGGGGGTTCAGTGGAGGCCCTGGTCCCACAGCTCCTAGCCAGGGCTTCAGCCCAGCTCCCACTGTCCAGCTACGGAACCGAGTCTGGGATGGAGGTAAAGAGATATACATAAAGGGCTGTATCCCAGGATGTTTGCTTAAGGACAAGATTGCCGGGCTTCTAGCCTGCAGGGTCAAATTTCAAGGAGCCTGGCTTCTCTACCTTGTTCTGCCCAGTCTGGCAAGGCATGGGCAACAGAGGACGGAAACCAAACTGGATTTGCTTTAACCCTATCAGGCCAGAGTCCTGGCTCTCCCAATTGTCAAAATCTTAGTACTTTCTTCAGTTATATTAATAAAACCTATTTCATGGCAGCCAAAGGAAGTCCAAGGTACAGATTACATTGGAATCAAAGAGACTGCCTACTCTGCCCAATTTCTCTCTCTCTCTCTCTCTTTTTTGAGACAGGGTTTTTCTGTAGCTCTGGCTGTCCTGGAACTCGCTCTGTAGACCAGGCTGGCCTTGAAGCCTTGAACTCATAGAAACCTGTCTGCCTTTGCCTCTCAAGGACTGGAATTAAAAGGCATGTGCCACCGCTGCCAGGCTCCTCGGCCCAATTTCTTTCTTTCTTTTTCTTTTCTTTTTTCTTTTTTTTTTTTTTCGAGACAGGGTTTCTCTGTGGTTTTGGAGCCTGTCCTGGAACTAGCTCTGTAGACCAGGCTGGTCTCGAACTCACAGAGATCCGCCTGCCTCTGCCTCCCGAGTGCTGGGATTAAAGGCTTGCGCCACCACCGCCCGGCCTTCTTTTCTTTTTTTTTTTTTTTTGGTTTTTGAGACAGGGTTCCTCTGTAGCTTTGGAGCCTGTCCTGGAACTAGCCCTTGTAGACCAGTCTGGCCTCAAACTCACAGAGATCCACCTGCCTTCACCTCCCAAATCCTGAGATTAAAGGCGTATGCCACCACTGCCCGGCCTCCCCAATTTCTTTAAACTGGTCACACTTCATGTCTCTACTGTTTCCCCTTTCATTCATTCTTCTCTGGTGGCCCCAGCCCCTGACCACTGTTTTCTCGTTCTTCTCTGGTGGCCCCAGCCCCTGACCACTGTTTTCTCGTTCTTCTTGTTCTCCTCCTTTCCTTCCTACCGTTCCATGTCCCCTTCACGGTGGTTATTTTTCTGCACATCTCTAATGTGTTCAGTTTCTCAGAACTGACTTTCTTTAAGATCAGGGGTTCTAGCCGTGCCGTGGTGGCACACAACTTTAATCCCAGTACTTGGGAGGCAGAGGCAGGCGGATCTCTGTGAGTTTGAGGCCAGAGCTACAAGAGCTAGTAACAGGACAGGCTCCAAAGCTACAGAAAAACCCTGTCTCAAAAAAACAAAAAACAAAACAAATCAGGGATTCTAAAATATTCACGGGTTTGGGGATGGGGTGGAAGATAGACTGGAGGATAGACTTTCCCTAACTGTTGCCAGGACTCCACCTTACCCCTAAAACTCCGTTGGCTACTCACAGGCTTATGACTTTCAAATAGCCACGCACCTCCACTGAGTCCACTGAGCCAGGGGGATGACCCCTTCCTTCTTCCTGCATTGCTCAGGCCATTTCTAAGACCTCCCTTCTTCTACCACCCCTCAGCATCGAACCTCTTTGTTTACTGTGCCCCTTTCTTCTTGTCTCTGTCACTATCTCCAGGGCTTAGGCCTCCTGGTTCAGCTTCTCAAACAAGCCCTATATAATCTGTTCCTGGTTTTCTAAACAATATCAAATTTCATTACCTGTGGGCCTTCCTACGCCCATTACAGCTCCCCCACCCAATGCAAATGTCCAGTCCAGCTTCAGCTACTTCCTCCAGGAAGTATTTTCCTCCTAGGCTAGATTCAAACCCCTCCAGGGGCTCCCTTAGCCTTGGTGGTAAATCTGAAAGGACCACTGTGCCATATATCAGTGTATATAGCAATTATCAGTCTATCTGACAGTTTACTGGTCCTGAGACCTTCAAGGGCAGTAAATGGCCTTACTTGCCTTCTACCCTAGCCCTTGGCTTAGAGTGTTAGGCTGTGAATAAGCTTTCCTTTTTCTTTGTGGCCTCACGCGTGCTTAGCAAATACTCTATCATTGAGCAACAATCTCCTTTCTTTAAATGTCAGCTCAGTTGATGAATGTTTATTGAAGGCATAAGGGTTGCTAGAGTCAACTCTAAGAGGCAGGGACTCGCTCCCCTTTCAATTTTTCCATGTATGGTAGTCACTTTTGCACTTAAGCCTATCCTCTTTCATCTCTGAACCTTGAACGCCCATCAAAAAGGGGGAATCACTCCTGCTAACCTATCCCTACCTACACTCATCCTTCCTGGAAGGAAGGCGGGAGCCTAAGGCTTCTTCATTCCTAACCTCCCCATCTTCACCCATTGTGTGGCAGCCAGCCAGTGGGGTCAGGAATCCACATTGGGAAGACCCTCCGCTTCCTATCCATAAAGGGGAATTTGCAGGGCAGGGTCTGGGTACATAGTCTCCCATTCCCCATCTTGAACTCTGTTCCGATTGTGACCTGCTTTTGTAGGGAACCCCCAAAAGCCCACAACCTCCATACTTACAAAGATGAGTAGATTGAAGAGGACCATCATGACCTTAATGAATTTGAAGCACTGCATGGTGGGTCCTGGGATACAGACACATACAAGTTAGGGCTTTACGTCCCAGCTGCCCTGGGCTGGCCCTGCTTTTTGGACCCTGGCATACCCAAGTCACACATCCTGTGATCGCTCGCAAATTTCACAAACTTCTCACTCTATGCCTGTACTCCGATATCTCAGAACTTTTCCCAGCTCCCATCCTGACACTATACTACCCAGATTACCAGAATTTAATTCTCTGATCCTAACATCCCCAGATTCTCTCACACAGGTGTTACAAGCCCAACTCCCACACTGCAGGACACTCGATGTCCTTTCCTGTTTCTCTTCCTGGACCAATCTTAGACTCTTCCAGTAACCCTCTCATTGCCTTTTTCCAGCACCCACCCCAAACCTGTTTCCAAACTGGTACCCTTTCATAGGTTAATCTCTGCCCTGTGCCATTACCTGTTCAGGGCTCTTTCCAGTAGGTTCTGAACAGAATACGCTGCACTCCTGAAGGAACAGAACAGCTCCAGGAAGCTGCCACTTAGTGTGCTGGCCGAAAGATGAGGGATCACCTAGTCCTCACGCACGCCACTGCTCACCTACAGGTGGGACAGGTGTTTTAAAGCTTTCTGTTGCCCGCCCGCCTGCCCGCCCGCCTGCCCGCCCGCTGGCCCGCCCGCTGGCCCGCCCGCTGGCCCCACCCATGGCTGAACAGCCTCCTTTGCCCCTGCTGCCCCCTACTGCCTGGAGATAGGTTTTCAACCCCAAAAGCAATAAACAGATCTCCACCTGGAAGGGTCACCTATAGGTGACCCTTCACCTATAGACTCTAGGGCTCCTGGTCTCCGGAAAGGGGTTTAGGGGGCAGCAGAGTCAGGAGTAGGACAATTGCCTTTCCAGAACCTTCTGTGTGCCCTGCTCACGATAGTGTAACGTGATTCTTCCCTCGAATCTGTGTGTTCACTGGCACCACACCTGTTCAATCTGCCATCTGTATGTTTACACACAAAGCACACAGTCACATATTTAACATGGACTGGTACTCCTGAAGTGTGTGTGCATGCACATACACCAATGAACACACACACATTTAATGGAGCACACATACATGCACACACCCATACACATATGCACACCCATAAACATGCATTCTCTTTCTCTCTCTCAAACACACACCCACTCTCAAGGAAATGGTCATGGTCTGGCAACCTCTGCTCTCTCCTTAGAACAGGAAATGGTTATTTGTTCTCTTCCCCCCATAAAACCTCAAGCTCCCCATCCTTCTCCTCCCTTCATCCTTTTTTTTTTATTATTTTATTTTTTTTTATAACCTTTTGCCTGCAAATTCCTGATATGTGAGTATGTGAGCCTGGTTCTCTTGGAGGTCAATGGAGGACATCAGATCCCCTGGAACTGGAGTTATAGGAGGTTTTGAACCACCATGTGAGCTGGAAATCAAACCAGGGTTCTTTGCAACCTCTAAGCCATCTTTCCAACCCCCTCCCTTCATCTTTTTGCCCCTCACCTTTTTCTCTTCTTTTCCCCTCTCCTTTATCTGGGCCTCTGTGCACAGCCCTGGCCCTTCTGCCAGCAGGTGGCACTGTGTGCCTACAAAGGAGACATTCCCATTCTAAGGTTCCGTAACCTTTTCTTTCTGGGGCTCCCTCTCTGATTTTCCACGCCACTATTCCTCATTGAGAGGGTCTTCACAAGTTCTTGCTCTCCAGTTATTCAGATCAGGGGCTCAGATTCTGGTTCTGTCATTTCTTAGCTATGTGGTTATGGGCTCTGGGAATATTTTATTGTTTATTTGTTTGTATTTGTATTTTGTCGAGACATGATCTCATTTATCTAACTGTCCTGGAACTATGTAGATCAGACTAACCTCAAACTCACAAAGATCTTCCTGCCTTTGCCTCCCAAGTGCTGGGATTAAAGATGTATGTCACTTTGCCTATTTTATTTATTTATTTTTGGCTTATTGAGAGAGGGTTTTTCTTTGGGTTTCCCTGGGTGCCCTGGAACTAACTCTGTAGACCAGGCTACCCTTGAACTCAGAGATCCACCTGCACCTGCTCCCCAAGTGCTGAGATTAAAGGCGTGCGCCACAACTGCCCAGTTTATTTACTTATTTACTTTTTAGTTTAAATTGTATTTACTTTGTTTGAGTGTTTTGTGAGCATGTACATCTGTGTACTATGTGCAGAGGCTAGAAAAGGGCTTCAGATCCCCTAGAACTGGAATTACAGACAGTTATGACTCTCCATGTGGGTGCTGGGAATCAAACCTGCGTCCTCTGGAAGAGCAGCCCGTGCTCTTAATCGCTGAGCCACCTATCCAGCCCCTACTGATTTATTTTTCAATTTTTGTAACTGGGTCTATGTAATCTTGGCTGTCCTGGAGCTCCTGTTGTGGACCAGACTGGCTTTGAACTCAGAAACCTGCCTACTTTTTTTTTTTTTTTTTAAGATTTATTTATTTATAAAGTATTCTGCCTATAAGCCAGAAGAGGGCACCAGATCTCACTGTAGATGGTGGTGAGCTACCATGTGGTTGCTGGGAATTGAACTCAGGACCTCTGGAAGAGCAGTCAGTGCTCTTAACCTCTAAGACATCTCTCCAGCCCAACCTGCCTGCTTTTGCCTACAGAGTGCTGGGTTCATAGGTGTGAGTCACCAAATCTGGATTTATTTTGAGAAGATATCTCACTCTATAGACCAGACTGGCCTCAAACTTAAGGCAATCCTCCTGCCTCAGTCTTCCAAGTGCTAGGATTGAAGGTGTGAACCACCACACCCAGCTAACTTGAGTTCTTGGTCTTCCTGACTCAGAATCCCTAGTGTAAGGGTTACAGGCGTGCACACCCATCCTGCTATTTGGTCATCTCTGAGATTTGTTTTTCCATCTTTGTTTCCTAGTCTATATAAGAGAATAGTTATGATGAATATAGTAAGTTTTTCTCCCTGTTCTGGGGCACAGAGCAATGAGCACCAAGAGGTCAGAACAGAGAGCACTGCTAGAGGGATTGTGGGATGGATTTAGGTGACAGACGGTGGTGGTGGTAAAGTGTGTGTGTGTGTTTCTGGGGACTGGGCCCAGGGCTTTGCACACGCTAGACAAACGCTTCACCACTTAAGTTACATCCGCTGACGTGTGTTCTTTCCTTTTTTTAAAAAATTTATTTATTATGTATACAATGTTCTGTCTCTGTTTATGCCTGCAAGCTAGAAGAGGGCACCAGACCCCATTACAGATGGCTGTGAGCCACCATGTGGTTGCTGGGAATTGAACTCAGGACCTTTGGAAGAGCACTGACATGTGTTCTTGAGAAAGGGTGTCACTATGTATCCCTGGCTTGTCTAGGACGCACTCTGTAGCCCCAGCTGTGATCCTCCGTCTACCTCTGCCTCCATATTGGGGGGATTTCTATTTTCTACAAAAGCCAAGGAAGTAAGTGTGTGTGTGTGTGTTCACGTGTGTGGTGTCTGCAAAGGTCAGAAGAAAACAGCCTTAGACTCCCTGGAGCTGGAGTTACTGATGGTTGGATCTAAGCAGTGTGGATGCTGGAAACTAAGGGGTCTTCTGCAAGAGTAGTAAGCATTCTTAGCTGCCAAGTCATCTCCCCAGCCTGCAAGTAGATTTTTTAGTTTGCTGTGTTTGTGAGGAAGGAGACAGCTGTAGAGACAGAGAGGAAGGGATAATAGCATTGCAGATAATAAGCCAGGGGACCATTCTTATATTCCCAGTTACTCTGGAGGCTAAGACAAGAGGATCTCTTGATCCTACAAGTTAAAAACCCTTCTGGGAAAAAAATAGTGATGTTCTATCTCAAAATTTAAACAAATGGACTGAGCTTGGTGGTTCCTGCCTGTTATCCCAGCTCTCAGGAGGCAAAGGCGTTTGAATAGGGGCCAAGGGCTCATAGGTACAGAGGCTAAAAGTTAAGAAGAGCAAAGTGGGGGATGGTGAGGCCCCACAATCTGGGACCTGAAGTTCCTGGAGGACTAGAGGGTCAGGGTTAAGGTGTGAAGAAATGAGCAAATCCAAAGTTCCCCTTAGCGCAAGGCCTGGAAGACCTAATTTTCCTGTCTGCTTCCTACAAAAACAGGTGAAACCAGGGTTAACATCTCTTATCCCTCTTTCCACAGGGCTTTCTTTTCCATCTCAGGAAGAGCTCTGGGAGTTCACATCCCTCCATGTCCCTGGTTATCATGGAATATCCTGGATAAACACATAAACAAGCGTAGGATAGCAAAAGGTGAGTGCCCTGGGCTCTGGATCTGGCAGCTAGCGGATCTGTACCCCCAGCTAGCTGCCTCTGATTCAATGACTATACCTCACCAAGGTGGTTTCCTTCTATGGCCAGTCTTCATCATTCATATTCCATATCTGTGAATTCACCTAGTCACCACGTCCATTTGTGACCACAAGACCAGGTCTTACATTGCTTTCCCAATTATTCAGAGGAGGTACACAGAGGTAAGATTCCTGGGTGCCTGACACATATGTCCAGCAGAGGTGTGTTGAGTAGGAGGGATCCTCTGCCCCCAGAAACATGCTCCAGCTCTTACAAACCAGTGTTTGCCCAGCAGTCTAGTTACTACCAGTATTTTTTATTCAAATGTTTTCTTTTCTTTTCTTTTCTTTCTTTCTTTCTTTCTTTTTTCTTGGATGATTATTATGTCATTAATGATGTTGCTGGCCCAAGTGGCCCTCGTGGTGCTGAGCTACTATTATCTAGTATTCCTCTGCACAAAAGAGTGGAGATATACTCTAGAGGATATGCATTTGCTAGAAGTGTTAGATACCTGGCCTACCTGACCTCCCAGGATTAAAGGCTTGTACTACCGGTTCAGCTTTGTTTAGCTAACCTCGATTCAGACAGTTACATTGCTGTTGCTCATGAGCTGAGTGTTGAAGACTCAACACTACATATTACATAAAGTGACTCATTGTAGGATAATGGTTCATTACTTCTAGCTCTTGGGAGGCTAAGGCAGGAGGATTGCTATAGCAGGTTCTGGGCCAGTCTAGGCTACAAAGCAACAATAGCCAGGTGGTTGTGGCGCACACCTTTAATCCTAGCACTCCAGAGGCAGAGGCAGGTGGATCTCTGTAAATTCAAGGCCAGCCTGATCTATAGAGTGAGTTCCAGGAGAGCCAGGGGTACACAGAGAAACCCTGTCTTGAAAAATCAAAACAAAATAAAAAAGAAAGATATCAACAAAAAACAATGACAAAAAAGAACAAATAAATAGCCTCTAGACCTAAAAACAGATGATGCATTGATAGTCTGGCAAAAATATTATGACCAGGAGTCACAGGAACCTGTGCAGCTCTTAGAAGTAAGGAGTGGGATCGAAGCAAGATGGCGGGCCAGTGGAATGAAAGCCTGTGTGCCTAGAAACAGATTGGAGAAGCAATTTCACCTCACAATTTTTTTTCATGTCACCTTATAAAGATCATGGCTGCAGCAGTAAAATGGGTGACATCAAGCAGAACTGTCTGGAGACATTTATTTCCAATCCAAAATGGAGCCTTATCTAGTGTTTGTTGTAAATCTACACATTCTTCTCTTCCAGATGACTACAACTGCAAGGTAGAGCTCGCTTTGACATCCGATGGCGGATAGCAGTGTGCTACCACCCTTCTGTGGACATCCCGTATGAACACACAAAACCTATCCCTCACCCAGACATTTTGAATAATAATGAAGAAACACATGAACAAATGCTTAAAGTCAAATTAGAAATAAAAAGCAAATGGCTTGAGCAAGGCCCCATGATAGAACAACTCAGCAAGGGGGCTGGAGAGATGGCTCAGTGGTTAAGAGCATTGCCTTAACCTTCCAAAGGTCCTGAGTTCAATTCCCAGCAACCACATGGTGGCTCACAACCATCTGTAATAGGGTCTGGCGCCTTCTTCTGGCCTTCAGGCATATACACAGACAGAATATTGTATACATAATAAATAAATAAATATTAAAAAAAAAAAAAAAAGAACAACTCAGCAAGGTATTCTCCACCACGAAGCACCGTTAGTTCCTGCGCAAACAGTATCACAATCGTCGTAAGAAACCAAATCCTCCCAGAGACAGGTGATTGCTCTTGACTTCCCAAGCACAGGGAAGTTTTGCTGTGTGTCTTAGTTGCCAGCTGAGAAAAATGCACATGTGTTCATTAAGATGTTATGTAGGAAAATAATAAAAGTACCCCTTTCATATTTAAAAAAAAAAGAAGTAATGAGTGATTCAATATTATTGTTTATTTGAGGCAGGGTCTCACTACATAGTCATAGGATGACCTGGAACTCTATGGTTCTCCAACTTCCTGATGCTGCAACCCTTTAATACAGTTCTCCATGTTGTGATGACCCAACCATAAACTTATTTTCATTGCTGTTTCAGAACTATAATTTTACTACTGTTATGAATCTAATGTGAAATGCAGGAGATGTGATATTCGACCCCCAAAGGGGTCTCGACTCACAGGTTGAGAACTGCTGCTCAGCGTAGACCAGCCTGACTCTCAGAGATCCTCCTGCCTCTGCTTCCCAAGTGCTGGGATCAAAGGACTGTACTAGTATACCCAGCTTCAGTATTTGCTAATTCAGTGTTTACAATGACTTTCTAAACCTCTAACTACTGGGAAGAATGATAATTAACTTCTATAAATAAGATTATTGATAACGTCTCCTCACAGGGCTGTGGTGAAGTCAATGAAATCAAGTTTGTGAAATACTAAGCTTAGTATCTGGCACACAGTAGGTGCTCAATACATTGTTAGTATTATTAATGTGGATGAAGGAAAATAACCAAGTGATTTCCCCCACCAGAGTTCTTTTCCCTAAGGGATCAAACTGTGGTTGTCTGGCTCTTGGTCTACTCTCCATGAAGAGGACTGTGAGGAAGTCTGAGCTATGTCTGGGTGGGGGAGGGGACAAACCTGTGACAAAGAGCATCACCCTCAGGCAGGCTCCGTATGTCACAGAGACCTCAGTTGCCTGGTCAACAGAACCCCCCAGAAGCTCTTTGCAGTCATGGGGCCCTCTCAGCTTGTCCGTGCCCCTCGGCCTCGGGGCATGAGTTCTCCATACCGAAGGCCAGGTATGGGTGGGTCCCGGCGCAAGTGTTCCAGGATGTTCAAGTATAGCCGCAGAACATACCGGCAAAAACCCCGAGGCCCAGCTACCACCAATCTTGCCACTATGGCCACAAACATCAATAACACCAACAACACTACTACCACCAGTGTGTGGATCCTCTCACCTCAAGGTTAGTGGGGGAGTCTGGGCTGGGGGATCTGTGATTTAAAAAACAGAAGTATCTGTTGCTTACATGCTCTAAAGGGCAATTTGTGAAATTCCACCCAAGGCAGCGTCTTGAAGGCACACGTCACCAAATGCTGAGAGCCTTAATGAAAAACAACATGAATGTGAAACAGAGAGCTTGGGGGAGGTGGGGGAGCTATGGGGTTCCCACACATGCCTATTTTCTTTGTGTGTGCATGTACACATGTATGCACGTGTGTATGCCTGCACGTACAGGCCGAAGAACAACCTTGGCTGCCATGAACCTTTTTAGGAGACGGCCTCTCAGCAGCCTGGAATGTGTCAAGTAGACTAGGCTGGCCGGCCGTCCAACAGCAGAAATCTCTGTGTCTCTGCCTCCCCAAGGCTGGGATTATAAGCATGTGCTACCATGCTCAGCCTTTACCTGGATCCTGGGATTGACCTCAGGTCCTGAGAAAACTAGGGCTTCACTGAGTTACCTCCCCCAGCCTGCACAACTGCCTTTTTTCTTTTTCTTTTTCTGAATATTCTTCCTTCTCTTTTCTCTCTCCAGTACTCAGACACCTCTGTCAACCTGGGGGCTTTCTGATCCTCTAGAAATGCCCAGAAGCTTGGCTTGCACTGGACCTGTTCTTCCAGAGGGCTGTTGGTGGTAAACAGCAAATACAATCACTCTGCTTAAGCTGTCTTTCTCCATCCTAAGTGTTCCAACTATGCAGGACAGGAGAGCAGGGGCAGGGCTGGAGACACTTAGGCATGAGCTTCTGAGCCAGCACGTGTGGACCACAGTTAGACAGTGGAAGGACAGGACAAGGTCAGCCAGACAAACCCATCTTTGTCCTCAGCATTTTGATCTGCCCTGTGAGGTAAGGGGCTGTTCTGCCTTACACTCCCATGGGCACAAGGTGTCTTGGAAAGAACAAGAAGGTACAGATAAGAGAGAGACCGGATGAAAGACAGAACCCCACAAGTGCTCTAGCATGAGGTATGATGGCGCTGGTCAGTGTGTGTGTGTCACTGTGTGTGACAAGAGAATGGGAACATTGAGGCACATGTGACTAGATATGCCTTTGTGACTGGACGTGCCTCTGCTGTCAGCTGAGAGAGTCAAGGAGCGCCTGTGAGGGCAGAGGCAAAGCAAAGCGGTGTTGGCTCAGCTAAGAAGGAAGGTCAGAAGCGGGAGGGGGCCGCCTGCGGGAGGGAGGGGGTGCAGAATGGTTAGTGTAGGAGGACATGTCACCTTCAGCCCCCAGCCATCCTCTGAGGTCAGCGTTTTCCAGGACTGCCAGCTGAGCTGGGGCACTTGGGGGCCGGAGCAAGACTGAGTTTGAGCCCAGAAACAGGGGAGGGTGTTGCACTCTGTCTGGCCTGGGGATTTTCCATTTGGATTTCTGAGTGTGTGCCCATGGATCATAGGGTTTAACTAGGTTTCTGTGGGTTGTGTTTCTGTGGGGTTGTGCAGTAGCATTGTGAGTGTCTTTGTCTCTAATGAGTGGATTTGTGCATGGGCTAGCATGCGGATTGGGGGGTGTGAGGATGGGCTAGCGTGAGGACTGGGGAGCAGGAGTAATCCCTAAGACTTTTGGTGGCCTGTCCTCTGGGCTTTAAGAAGTCTGGCTAATATCATTTTCCTCTCATAAGAGGAATGAATTATGTTCATCTACAATAAGCCTGCCAGAGCATGGGATCCTGAGGGGAGGGCTAGAGCAGATAATTCACAGTTATACTGGGTCCAGAGAGTGCTGAGCTACTTGGTGTGGACATTAATTGCACCTAGAAAAGGACTGGACTGGTGTCCAAGGCCCATAATGGGTCTGCACATAACGAACACATGACAAACAAATGTAGTCATGTAAATATAAGTGGACTCACGTACATACAACATAATTAGCAAATGAATGCATGTATTCAGGCACATGCTATAAACAGAGATCAGCACTGGTAAGAACGCAATAGGTACCAACCCACCCCCTTGCAGGAGGCATGGCCATACACAGACACAAACATACATGCACCCAGACACAAGAACACAAGCATAGAAACACAGACACATGCTATCATACTCATGCAAACTCAGATACACGTAGACACACTCACCAGCCTTTCCTATCCTTGCAGCCCCGAGGCCCAAATGCCTCCCTCCCCAATATCGCTGTGTGCAGTGCGTGCATATGTGCCTTTGCTTATGTCTCTGTGTATCTGTGTCTCTGAGTGTGTGCATGTGTTTCTGTGTATGTGTATGAGGGGGGTGATAAGCAGAGGAAACTCGATGACATCATCTCTTCAAGCTATTTTTAGCTCCATCCGCAATGACTTCTCCTCCATTACCCCTCCTCCTCCAGGTTCCCAGTTCTCCTCCCTCTCTGGGCTCTCAGAGAAAGCAAACAGCCAGAGAGAGGTACCCACTCCTTCAGTTTAGGTGGCCTCTCTGGATGATTGGGTGCAACTCACTCTTTCACCCCTCTGGAGTTCTTTGGAGGCCGAGAACACAGAGATGATTCCCGGACTAGAGGAAGGGGCTTGAGCTATGGGGCAACCTGGAGCAGGGGCCTGCAGTCTGCAGCTCTGACTCAGTAGCACTTGCTAGGACTAAGGGAGTTGCTAGTTCTGGAGATGAGGTGGGTGAAGACAATGAGAGGTCTTCCTCCATGGGAGGCAGAACTCTGGGAACCTGGCAGCTTCAAGGATTCTCTTCCATCTCCCACAGGTTAGCTAACATAAGGAACCCAGAGGAAGCACCCTTCACTCCCGCAATTCCACCTAGAGATTTCCACAAGCAGCGCTTCCTGCTCATACCCTCGCTGTGGTGTTCCCAACCCCACACCCACCCACCAAGCAAACGCAGGGCCCTCTGCTAGGCACATCCACTTTCGGACCCCTCCCCGAGCTGCTCTGTGGGAAGGCCGCTGTTCTCCAACTGGAGATGGGAAGACCGAAGCCCAGAGGGGGCGGTAGCACTGGCCCACACCTTATGGTGCTGGGGAAGCAGCCCAAGGGAGATGGGAAGCAGGTGGAGGAGGAAGTGGTGGCACACTGGGACAGCTGGCACAGGTGCAGAAGGCACAGCCCAGGCAGGGAATCAGGTGAGGGGGAGGAGAACGGTAGCCTGAGGGGTACATGCCAGGAGGAGGGCTTCCTGCTTTAGCCAGCCTTGGGCAGCCACCGGAAAATCGGGTTTGGCAGCTTCAGCCCAGTGCTGAACTGTTCTGCCGAAGGGCTGGAGGTGTGTGTTGGGGGGGTGGGGGGGGTGGGGGGGTGGGGGGGTGGGGGGGTGGGGGGGTGGGGGGTGGGGGGGTGGGGGGGTGGGGGGGGTGGGGGTGGGGGGTGGGGGTGGGGGGGTGGGGGTGGGGGGTGGGGGTGGGGGGGTGGGTGTCCAGATTGCTCCGGGGAAGTGGCCTGGGGCACGCCATCCTCTTCAGAAACAATGAAGTTCAGGGAACATTTTGAGATCTTTCGGAAGGTAGGAATAGTCCTGGACTGGAAGCACCCCTGTTTTGCCCTAACCCCTAGTGTGATGCTTTACCGGTCCTGGTTCCCTTCTTTCTTGGCCAGAGAGCCCCCACAGGAAGGGGCTTTTTGAGATCAGGTTCCGTAAGTTTTTCTGGGAGTCTGACTCAGGCGGGGTGGGGGTGGGGGGTGAACAGTCAAAGGATAGGGTCTGACTGAACCAGACAATCCCTGGGGCACGAGGCTGGAGTTCCCTTGTAACTAGCAGGTCAATCACCGGAAACCCAGTTCCAGGCCCACAATACAATACTGGTCACTCCACCCTTAAGTGCCCTTACCCACACCCCCACTTCCGGTCTCTGTTCCTTCCTCATCTCTGGGGAAGGCTATAGAGCTCCCTAGGGAATCTCTGCGTTCCCTTCCCTGGATCCTTGCCTGGCTTAACCCTCCCTCCCGTTACCCATTCGGCAACATCAGTCAGTTCCCCCGCTAAACTGCCACTGGATTCTGGCACAGACTAGGGAGATTGTTTCTTCTCAGGCTCCGGAGCTTAGATAAAGGGCTTGAGGGAGATAGGGTGTGTGAACCCAGTGCTGGGTTTTGCGTGGATTGTCCTGTGACCCCAGGAAGAATGGAAATTTCCCCCTCTTTTTCTAGTCATCTCCTTCTTCTGCCTTTAGTGGAAGGTACAGAAGAAACCCCAGAGTTGAGACATAACTTATAGAAAACAAACACAAAACCCCAGGGCAAGGGGCACTGGCTGCTGTTACCATGTCTACCACAAAATTCATTAAACACACATTAAAAAAAGGTTTGAAACTCTGGATTCATAGAGTCCACAGTCATAGGATCTTGACATCAAAGAGTTTTACTAGAAGTTGAGGAATCTAGAATGGTGTCCTCCCCCCCACAAAGTTAGAATGTGTTTAAATTAGAAGTCTGAGGTGTCAGTGAAGTCCCGTGTTCAGGTGGATGCCTAAGCCAGATTTTCTGCTGCAGATCTCAAAGCAGCTCAGACATGTGCTCATTGGGGAGGCAGACAGCCTGGGGTATGTGAGGTTAGATTGAAATAATAACCCTGCCATAAACTGGATGGACACAGACTTTGTCCATGAAGCCGAGTTCCTGAGCACAGGTGGAGATGGCGTGGAACAGCCTACAGAAAGAGCCATGGTCAGGAGTGGTGGCACACAGCTCTAGTCCCAGGACTTGAGGCTTGAGGGGAAACCCCTGAATTCAAGAGTCTAACACCAGCTGAGCAATATAGCAATTCCTTCATCAAAGGAAACAGGAGAAAGAAACAGGAGTGTGTGTGTGGTTTCAACAAGAAGCTTAACATACAGACCCAGTTCTAGTAGCTCCAGCTTCTCTGATTGGGGTGAAGCACAGCCAAAGCCATTTCTTTTTTTGTTTGTTTGTTTTTTTCACTTTTCTTTGTATTTATTTATTTATTTATTAGCCAAGGCCATTTCTGAAGGTTAGCAGGAGTTCAAGGCTAGCCGCAGCTATGTAGTGAATGTGAGGATAGCCTGAGCTATATGAGACCTTGTCTAAAAAAAAAAAAAAAGCCTGGTGCATTGGCACATTCCTCCAGTCCCAGCACTCAAGGGGCAGAGTTTGAGGCCAGCCTGGTCTATGTAACAAGTAACAAGATCTAAGCCTATCTAAGTAGTAAGACCCTGTCTGAAAAATGAAACAAATCCACCAAAACAGAATTAAAAACATTTCATAAGGTTACTGGGGACTCCTTACTTCATTGCAGGTCAACAACCCATGTCAGATTGTTTTCTTTGGAAAGATACTAAACGACACACATCAGGCTTCTCTTAGGGTCTCTGGGAAAAGCAAGCTTTATTCAAAGATGCTGATCCTTGATTTACATCCATGCCACATGTCCCCCGGTAGCAGGATTCAGAGTCTCTACAGCAAGGTCCCAAGAGAGAACCTTGTTGAGGGCATCTATCTGAGGCAGTACTTAGAGGAGCTGGGCATCTAAAGAAGGAGGGTGCCAACCTAAGGCTTGGAATACATATAGCACAAGTAGTTCAATCTCTGACCCTCAGAACCATAAAAGCAATCAAACTGATGTTAAACCAGAAAGGAGACTTCTTCCGGGTGGTGGCGGCAGGCACCTTTAATCCTAGCACTGG